AAAAAAAAAAAATGTATATATATATATATATATATATATTTTTTTTTTAATGTCTTCACTGATTTCAGGGAGAGGAAAGGAGACGGAAAGAGAGTTAGAAACATCAATGATGAGAGTCATTGATCGGCTGCCTCCTGCACACCTCCCACTGAGGATCGAGCCCGCAACCGGGGCATGTGCCCTGACCAGGAATCGAACCCTGATCTCCTGGATCCCTGTCTCTTATACACATCTAGATGTGTATAAGAGACAGGGTCTGANTCCCACTGAGGATCGAGCCCGCAACCGGGGCATGTGCCCTGACCAGGAATCGAACCCTGATCTCCTGGATCCTAGGTCGATGCTCAACTGCTGAGCCATGTTGGCCGGGCAGGTATGCAAAGTTTTTACTATAGTAAACAACATAAAAATGGGAAAATATTTAATATATATTAATTAATTATATTGCATATTGAGTACAAATATCTTGAATTATTTATAAATAACTACACACCATGTTTATGGAAAAATCTCATGATGACATCTGTATTACAGTAGAATATACACTCTGAGACAAAATGGACTTAACCCCAAATGCCTAGAACATTCTCTGGCACAGAGGAGGCAATGAATGTATTTGTTAAGCCAAGGCACTTATCCTAGCGCAGCTTTTGAGTGAAATATAGATGCCAGGCAGGAAATGTTTTATAAGAAAACCACTCTGAATTCCAAGTTTTGACAATATTAAATACTTATCTATTTTTAAGAACTAGGTAGTTTATACAGTTTCTAAAATTTATTTGAAAAGCCCTTAATCTCTCTGACTTAGTAGTTTTATTACATGTATAGTGCTTCATCTTTCCATAATCGATCCTATTTTTGATCTTCAATTCTTTGTTAGAAGTCTATTTGGTTAAAATAATTTCCTCTCAAGGAGAGCTACATCCCTGGCAGTAAAGGATTTAAACATGCACTGGACCTGTAACATTTTAAACCAATTCTATATTTGCAGAAGAGAAAAAATAACCATAAGTACTATAGCCTCACTCCGTTAAAAACTCTGATCATTAATCTAAGAATTCTTCATAGGCCAGAATTCACTGAAGTAAAGCCATCAGTCACGCTGGATGCAGATTAGTGAATTTTCCTGCGTCTGCTGCCCCTCATCCCCAGTGCCTTCATGCTGATGCCAACTGAGTACTCAACTCGGTGAAAAGGGAAGTGTATCACTTTTTCATTCTTAAATTTTTTCCAAGGAATCATTTTTTATCAAAGAATACGTATCAGTATGACGTGGGTTTATAAGGTATTTAAATCACAGAAATCTCTCAAGGCAATTAGTGCAGTAATAACCTCACTGAAATTTAAACCTAGAAATCCAGAACAAGTACCAGCAGTAAATCTTGCACATGTCCAAAATTAAGTAAAATTTTAGAATTTCAACATATGTCCTATTTCCCCCCCAAATGGCCTATAAATGTACCAATTCAAATACCAGAGGAAAAAGCTATGTCCGGAATGAAAACATTTCCATACTTTTGTAAACAATGTTCATATTTGACAGAATGCAAATACGTATTAAAGTGCACTGGGCCTGGCCGTCCCACGGATGCTCATTTCATGACTACAGGCCTCTTTGGCAAGACAAAGGGCTCATCTGTTCACACTCGAATCTGTGTGATGTTTCAGTGGTTTAACTTCAGTCTTTTGCGGAACACTTGCCACTGTGTTTGGTTTTTTAAAAAGCAAATAAAATGCCACGTGATCAAACTGTTCCTTTAGATCGCAGGTATTTTGTGCTTTCCCTCTGCTTTCTAAATTTTCTTTTTACACAAGCTAATAATACTTTTGCAATTAGAAAATAAAATTGTGATCTAAAACAGAATAAAAACAATCCCTTGCATATGCTGTTACTCATTTTATAAAAAGTATCAAAATAACTTTTTCTTAAATCAATTTAAATGCCTGATGACATAATTTAAGTGGAAAAAGAACTGAGTGAAAACTAGAGCTCTTGAGATAATCCCAAATTTTAATTAAAAAAAAAAGTTCAGATCAAGTAATCAATTACTGATTCATCCCAAATGTTCATAATTAATGGCTACGTATGTTCCTGGAGTTATTTTTAACAACGCTTTCTACAATTAAAACCCACACTAACTTCTGCAACCATTTAAATTCCACGACTAGCATCTCACAAGAGCTGCAACATACAAATTCTATAATTAGGTTTTAAAAGAGGTTCAGTAGGAAAAGGGTAGGAAGATGGTTTAAAATTGAAACGTGAGATTAAGTTTCACAAGGATAAATTCATATGATCCTTAGCTATGCTCTGAGATTTATTCATAATCAATGAAAATACTCTTTCATTTATAAAAATAAATTCTCCTTTGCCCTTACTTACATAACATGGGACTTGAAAAACTTCTACTTCTCTTATCGCAAAGCTTATTTTACAATTAATTTTATTTATATAATTCTTCCTGAATTATAAAAGGCCAATTTTTGCATTTTTAGTTTGCAAAAGATCAAGTACAACTCAACCATAAAAAAAGATAAAATATTGCCATTTGCAACAACATGGATGGATCTTAAGAGCACTGTGTTAAGTGTCAGGATGCCTCTTTTAACTATTTACGGGGGGGGGG